CTGTTTTCAATCCACCATTTTCTACATAAGAAAATGCCTGTACCAAGTGGATGAAAATTATATATACATGTGACTGTTATATTAATATAATATATAACAATAAACCAGTGTATACTGATTTGTATACCTACAATATAATAGTTATTACGTTGAGGTTGAATTTCTGTCATTTATTCATCATCCACGCACGAAATTGTCATAGAAAAAAATATATCTCTGTACATTAACCTCAGTTTCAGGTATAGAGATGTTATGCTTTTCTGTGACGAGTGCTTTTGACCATCCACAAGAACTTGCGGTCACCCGATGTTCAGTACTTAAGCATGGCAGTGAAAATGAAAGTAAACACGTGCATTTCCACATAGAGACTGGTAATTCCAAGAATAAAGTTGCATAACAGAACAGAGTTTCTCTCCTTTTATTGATCACCTTTTCTTCAGCATTGCAATATGTTTTCTTACCGCAACACATCACAGGCTTTAACCTGAGGAGAAAATTAAAAAAGCATTTATTAAAAATATAAATGAATGAATGCAAGACAATATGTCTGTCCCAATCCAATTCACCATCATTTTCCAATGACAGTCCAAATATCCCATTACCTCTATTACAGGACCTGCCAATTGTATTTATAGTTCATGCATGTTCAGGACCTGAACATGCATGAACTATTTGCCACTGGACGTTAAGCAACAGCCAATCAATTAATCTTTACAGAAACCAGATCGGAAGAATTCAAAGACATCCCAAAAACAAACATCTGGACAACGACATACTGATGACAATCATAGTTCACAATATTCAACAACTTCCAAAATTGAATCAACAGGTCGGTTCAGTTTATACAAAATTTTCAATGGCAAAAAGATGGTAAAAAAAAGAAAGAACAACTAAATAATAAACAAACAAAAATACGCAGAGTATACAAAAACCAAATCATGTTGCATCCCATATTGTCTACAATTTAAACAGTTTTCTCTAACAAATGGATCACATTGATAAGGATTTTGAATTTCACTTTACAGAATAAGACCAGAATTCAGGATACTGAATTGCTTGCCACCACTTCTGAATCAGATGTCCCTACAGAACCTGCTGGAACACATGATCTGAATTGGTTCAGTGAATATTTTACATCAATTCTCTGAAATTAAAACCAAACATGAAACATTTTGGCCTGGTTTTTTCTTCTTCGATTAAACCGAAGTTGAGATCGCATCTTAACAAAGCATATTAAAACACATTCATATTACCAACGACAAAAAATGTTTTACAGTTACCTGTGTCAGTGACGTTTGAGTTGACTTATTTTTAAGTCCTTTATGTTATATAGCTCTTCAACTGTATCGGTTATTATACATTCTTTGCTTTAAATTATTCGGCTGTAACGTTCATGACGATGCGCTTCGGACGCATGCATTTTATAAGGTGTAGTTTTCATTTCTTTTGACACAAAATCTTCAATGGGCTACATATTGTTAAACTCTAAATCGTATGAAATTCAAGATTACATTACTGTTTGAAATACAGCAGTAAATTCTCTCAACAATTAATTATTGTTAAACTTTGATAGCAAGAAGAGTAAACGTTACCACGCAAGAGACCTAACCCACTACCACCTGCCATAGTTCACTGTATTCTGTCTCGTTTCAGTGACGATGCTTGAAGATGCAACCTGGTATTTTTTTTCTATGTATGTACGTACTCGAAGCATTTGTAAATTATTAGACTATCCAACTATATAACTAGCTATATAATAAAACACTTGAGGTCTGATGATTTTGTGATATTTGCTTAGAAACAACATAACATCAAAGTTACATATAACATGACAGAAGAAATAATAGCACAGATGGACCGAAAAAAAACAGAAGCCGACATTAATCAATATCAACTTAATCACAAGTTCCTGACATAAAGTTAAGTTTTCAAATTTAATTTTGTTTATTAGCAGCATGGTATTGTGTTATTTTTTACAATTCTTCTAAAATTTTGCGTTTACATTGTATATCAACAGTATAATCATATTTCAGGTAGAAGAAATATCTATGCCAATTGATAAAAGAATAGTTGCCAAAGTTGAGGATGGGTTCATATCAGCTTCATGTATCATCATGTTGTTGGACACATCCGTTCGAAAAGAACTTTTTGCAGGACAGAGATCAACATCTTGAACAAACAGACGATTTTCCCTGCCAGAAAGACGTGTCAAATTTAATATATTCAACAAGGCTAAGGGCAGTCAAGTCAAAATATGATCAAGAAAATTAAGGAGCCTGTGTTGAGGAATGGAGACAGGAAAACCCAGCTGATTTAATTGACTTTAGTCCATCAGACGATTCATCAAGACTGTTGTTCATCTACCAATCAAGACAACAGAGAAGACTGCTTCAACGATATGGCAATGAAATCTGCCCTATCGCCAGCCGTCAGACCAGTGGATGGAACTGATATATGAGGAACATGTGGGTAGAAGGGTTCTCCTTACGTATTATGGGTTATGTGACAGCTAACACCTGGTACCACAAAAAGTGCAAATTTAATCACATACCAGTATTACCAATGAACAGGTCACATAATGTATCATTCACATTTGAAATTATCTTAAAAAAGTCTTAGTGTAAAAGTTCCCTTAGGCATTGTTCTTTGGTAATAATAATAGTCCCCTAGTGAATAGGTCAGCTAATGTATCATTCGTATATTAATTATAAATATTTTTTTTTGCAAATAAGTGAACTGATGGATATTTCAAACGCAAGAAAAGAACTTTCAAGACATTTGAGAACTTTTGTGATCTTTCAGAAGAAGTTAAAGACTTCATTGTAAGGACAAACACCGCAAAAAATAGAGAAGACTTTGATAAGCTTGGGCTAATTGTTGACAAACGGGTCAAAGCGGTAAACGACTCATTCGCAAATATGGATGCTGTTGTGCAGAAATTATTAGAATCTGCATCTCATCAGAGTGCAAGAGATCAAGAAAAAGGCTAAATCACACGGTACTACATGATCTTCCGTCAGTGAGATCTCGTTCTAGTTTCGATTCTATATTCAAGGCAAAAGCTGCAGCAGCTAGAGTTTGCATGAAACTTGCCCAAAAAGAGACAGCGTTGAAGAACAAGAGCTCGGGAATGACAAAACAACGCTTCGATGGACCAAAAAAAAAACAGAAGCTGACATTAAACTTCTTCACCAGAAAGAGGTGGAAGCGACCGAGGCCGAATTTCGAGTTTTAGAATGTGAAGTAAACACCGAATCAAATCTCACTCCAGAGAAAATTAAAACTAAGTGGAACAATAGATCCTGCTGAAAGAACTGCAAAATTCGCGAGTCAACAATCACAATTTTAGGATACAAGTAATACAGGGTTCGACGCTAATGGTAGTTCGATAGTCCGGTGCCCACTTGATTTTAAGGAGGACCACCCGAGATTCCGTAATAAGTAGTCATTTGGACTACCTGAAATTGCGTTAGTAGTTACTGCATAAAAGGTGGAAAAAGTTTATACCAACACGTGCTTGTGGCGAACAAAGCCTCTTAATCGTTAACTGCATCTTTCAAACGCTTTATTTCACGAAGATAATGGCAGCAAGTCACAACGTTCTATCAACACTGATTGTAAACAGAAATGTACAAATGTTTGGGCTTAAACCCCCCACTAGTTAAAAAAGTAAAGCTGTAGAGGAAAGGCGGGATGTACACAAGTCTCTTACGATGTAGAAAAAAGGAAGCATACATTTCAGGCATCATGGAAATCGCATTACACGTGGCTAATTGTCAGTGGCAATTAAGATATTAATTGGATGGAACACTGTTGTTAAAGGGATTACATTGATAGTCATTGTTGAAAAGGCAAATATCGTTTGACCAAATTGAAAATTAATAAATTGTATGCAATCTATTCTATAAATGTAAATGCTTGACTGTACCTTAAATTAAATATCTATATCCAAATTAAATTAATAAATGCAGTAGTCATGGTCACATGCAAAATGTGTGTGTTTACATTTGTTGAGAGCCATGTGCTTTTAGGCGGGAAAATATGTTAAATATCAAAATTAAAGACAACGCTGTATCTGGTTATTAACAGCAAACAAAGAATCTTAAATGGATATAAGAGGGGGTGGATGGGGGCTTTCATGATAAAATAGAGAAAAATGGACAATAAGTATAAAGAATAGAGAATAATGGGCAAAAAGTATAAAATATAGCGAAAAATGGCCTGGAAAATTAAGGAATACAGAACCTCAAAAATCACATTTCTAAAAAAAAAAGGAAATTTCAGACGAAAAAATCTTTCAGAAGCTCTCAGAATGCAGGATTTTGCATCTTATTTTTCAAGATTTTCAAAGTTAATTATCTTTTATAATAGTCCTATGGACTAATACCTGTTTAAAGTTAGTGTCAACCCCTGGTAATATAAGAGGATGTCAAATAACGGCGACTTGTTGAACCTCCAATTGAAATGAAAGTTAATAACTTCTATCATTTCAGGATTCATCCGCTGGAATACTACCAGTTGTTAAGAAACTACCACATGGAATACAGGAGAAATGGACGACTCGTGTTGTAAAGTACAAGAAACAACACAATGTTTATTTTCCTTCGTTTAGCTGTTTTGTTGAGTTCATCCGTGATGTCAGTCGTTTCAGGAATGACCCGAATTTCTTGTACAATACTCCGTCAGTGAATACATCATTGAAGCCATTCTCAAGGAATTTTGGTAGTCATGATAATTGGAATAAACCTGGAATTTCAGATAAGAAAACCGAATTCAAACCGAACAATGATTCGAATCGTTATCCTCTACACAAAACAAACCTTAGCCTTAACAACTGCTGAGCATTCAGATTTTGAATAATTTTCACTGGATCAAAGCTGTAAAAATAATGAAGAAATAGCATTCGATGAAACCTCAGATATCATTTCTTGTAGACTATATTGTACTGGCCGGACCAGCGAGTTTAACCAAGATGACTGGGTTTATGTAAAGATAAAACAATCAGGAGCTGACTTTTATTTCACTACCAATCCAAATGGTGAAAAACTGAAAATACAAATATAAATACAATTTTACAATGTGTTCAATGATAATTAAAGTCCATTAAAAATACGGATAAACAGTTCGTAGATTTATAAAGCTGTTAATGTTCTTTATAATAATAAATAGATGAATATTCTTGCACACGTCGGGTTCTGTCTGAATTAAATTGTGTAATCGCAGATACGAACAGTTTGAACGGTTAAATGTTCATAGTTTCTTTATAACATAGGAAAACATATTAAAACAGTTCATCGCTGATGTAAAGACATAATTTGTAATGTTTAAAGGTAACTCACGCTGTGGTTAGCCACGAATTGTTCCTTTGGACAACGTGTCCGCTGAATGTTCCTTGCAGTTGTGCACACGGCCTGCTGAGCAGTTTTCGTCACTCAGAAGAGAGGGGAAAGTAACATGGGTTCCTACACTGTCCTGTATAAAACTCCTAAAACTGGAGCATTTAAAGTGATGTACGCAATGAAACATAAACAATATAAAATGATGATCACATGATGAACAAATGATGAATGAGTTCCAGAACATATATCTTTACAGAATATATATTGGCTGTGGTGATGACTGTAGTGGGTATTATTAAAATTATCAGAAAATTAAGACAAAGACTTCAAAATTTACTTCACCGTCTTGAAAATCTTGCTGCACAAGCACAACGAGAAGATGTGGTATGAGTGTCAATGAGACAACTCTCCATCCAAGTCACAATGCATAAAAAAGCTCGCACCGACCAGCAAACTATAAAGGGCCCCACAATGACTAGATTAAAACAATTTCAAACCGGTATGTATACCATGAAAAGGTGTCTATAAACCCGTCAAGTGCAAAATACACCAGTACACACATTCAACACATTCCTATAGTTAAGGCTACAACAATTCTGATGACATCATTCTGACAATTGTTGGAATGTCACTTATTTGACCTCCTGTTCCAGTACGTGTACTACATTTCTACTCTTGTGTTTCAATCAGTGCGTAGCAAGTACTGTTTATTGGGGCTCCGCCGAATGGCGGACGCCCTATAGTGATCAGTCTGTCCGTCCGTCCGTAACAAATTGTGTCCGCTCTATATCTAGAGAACCGTTATGATTTCTAAGTTCCGAATTAGCTCTCGCCGCGATATAGCCTTTCTGTGCTAATGCGGCGTAAAGCATACAACAATCAATCAATCAATCCCATTTCTTATGGTAAAGATCGTGTCTGCTCTAAATCTTGAGAACCGTTATGATTTCAAAGTTTATACTTGATATGTATATAAACCAACACCAGAGGGTGTGTCATTATTTATGTACAATTTCCTAGGTCAAAGGTCAAGGTCAAAAACTTTGGTTTCAGTTGACAACCCCATGTCCAATGATAAAGATACAAATTTTTTACCACACATTATTCACAGTGGGGCTCACAGAGATGGCTGCCATCTCAATGATATCTAGCTATGCTCATGGGAGTAGCTACATCTACACGTGTTTACATCGTAGTCATATAGGTTGCAATTCTGTAAATACAGACAATGCAATTTCCCATAGGAACTCCCTTTGCGGCTAAAACTGTGACACTTTTACTATGAAGTTTCGTGAAAAATAATATCCCAGAACGGAAAGTTTATATGCACTACTATTTTATTCAAAGGTCAAAATATAGGGCTGTGCGGCATATTTTCAACATTTATATGCCCTGAACTTCTAAGAGTTTAAACTTATACTAAAATTCTATACTACCCTTACCTCCATTTTTGGACCTCCTAAGAATTAAAATTTAGCCGCTACCATGTTTATCTATACTGGTTACATTCCCAAGTGATGTCTCTATGAGATGAAACACAGAGATCATCAATGGGAACCAGTACGTTAACAAATTAACATACCTATGAATATTAAATATCTCCCCAAAAGAGGCGTGGTTTGAGAAACAGCTGTATTTACAAAGTGCAACCTATACAAGCATTTATTCAAATAGAAAACTCTCTAAAAACACTTTTTCTCACAACAATACTTATTTATCAGAATTATAGCCTTAAAGAAATCACTGCATATACTCTAAGTCTCCTTTTACAGTACATTTTATACCCCTACCCCTGTTTCAATTTTTTAAAGATTTTGAAAACAAGACTCTAATTATTGCCAGCTTACCCTATGTGCATGTTTTCTGACATGAACTGTCTAAAACCTGTTTGAAACTATTCTGATAACAAATTGAAAGCATTTTAGAATACTATAAATGTATTGTTTAGTAGTTAAGCATTCCAACATTCAAGATTATACAAAGTATCCAATCCTGCCTGTGTCTCCAGTCCACATCTTACTGTATGCCTATTTGTCAATGAAAGTTCACAATTTCTGCCTCAAATGGTCAGTTTAGAATTCTTGTCACAACAGTATCATCCCTAACCATATATATAACATAAGTTAGTTAATATATGTCCTAGAAGTGTTTAAACAAAGGCATATTTGCAAAAGTTGTATTTATGAAGATATCAGTCTGGTGCATAAATTCACTAAAAGTTTGATTGAAATGACTGCTTACATCTGATTTTTGCATAACTTCCTAGCACAGTTATTGTTTACTTTATAAAAGACCTTTAAAATAAAAAAATCATAGCATTTACAAGTTAAATTATCTATTTTATGACTCAGGGGTAGGCATTTTCCTCTGTTTTTTGCCCCTGGGGCCTCACATTTCCTATTTTTTTTCCCCTGTTTCTAGCAATGTGAAATATTTACTACATATTTAGGATAGAACACACTATTGTAAGTTTTACTGAGGTCTTTTTGTAATTCTAGCTTGTACTTTTTTATGCCGCAGTCACAAAAAAGCACATTTAGGCGTTTTGGGTTATCGACAGGACAAAAACACCCCACCAGAAATATTTAGGAAGGATCAATGAGTTGCAATTACTGCGAAGAGTAAATATAAGCACTTCTAAACAATTTAAATTACAAATAGGCATATATTATGAATTTATTTTGAATTCAGGGCTTTAAGTAAACCATGCATACTGTAAACTGTGAATTTATGCTGAGTCATCATAGTTAAGGCCCAGGATTTTCTCAATCTTCATGAAATATTTATAAAACTTCATATTTGAGTTAAATTCTTTAAAATCTCTGAGATAAACCAGATTTTGTGAAATTCTGTATGTTCTATTTTTTAACCCTATATAGGTTGCAATTCTGTAAATACAGACAATGCAATTTCCCATAGGAACTCCCTTTGCGGCTAAAACTGTGACACTTTTACTATGAAGTTTCGTGAAAAATAATATCCCAGAACGGAAAGTTTATATGCACTACTATTTTATTCAAAGGTCAAAATATAGGGCTGTGCGGCATATTTTCAACATTTATATGCCCTGAACTTCTAAGAGTTTAAACTTATACTAAAATTCTATACTACCCTTACCTCCATTTTTGGACCTCCTAAGAATTAAAATTTAGCCGCTACCATGTTTATCTATACTGGTTACATTCCCAAGTGATGTCTCTATGAGATGAAACACAGAGATCATCAATGGGAACCAGTACGTTAACAAATTAACATACCTATGAATATTAAATATCTCCCCAAAAGAGGCGTGGTTTGAGAAACAGCTGTATTTACAAAGTGCAACCTTTATTCATTTAATATGAAGGCGTCAGTGATATTATTTGCAATCTATAATAACTGCTACTTTACCAAGTTCCATTTTTTCCTACCTACTATTAAAGTGAGTTGTGACGAAGGTAGACTTATAATTATAATAAATAATAACCCGCATTTTAAGCACCTGTCATAATTCAGGAGCTTGTTGTTCAGTGGTTGTCGTTTGTTGGTATGGTTCATACGTGTTTCTCGTCTTTTTTTTTTAATATAGATTAGACCGTTGGTTTCACTGTTTGCATTGTTTTACACTGCTATTTATAGCTTGGTGTTCGATGTGAGTTTTTTAAGCATTGTGACTTGGATGGAGAGTTGTCTCATTGGCACTCATACCTGATCTTATTTATATTATGATTTTATACTGTATGTACAATCAACTACAAACACTTTTTTGTTGACCGTCCCTTTATTTGTACGGTTGTTAACATATTTTAGTTAAGTAGGTGTATTGTATGTCTTAGGTGTATGTTTATATAGTTTGGACACGTTGATCCCAAATATTGTCACAATAAGCAAGTATGGTTGTTTAGGTTGTTCACATAACTTTGTCGCTGTATTGTTAACAACTGTCGTACAAGCGCAAGTACTTGTTCGTACTACAAACAACAAAATTATTTTATATTTACTTGTTTGACACATCCGAATACATCTAGGTTAAACGATTCGCCTGAATTACTTTCAATCAATCAACAAAAAGGGAATTTATGACATCTCAACATATAACACAATCAATGTCCCCGTCCGAAAAGGGAAATTTAACAATGGGGAAAGAAATAATCCCTTTTGTGGTAAATTTTTGTACAAAGTTTCTGATGTTATACTGAAATATCTTAATCTAGGAAAGGACAGTTATTGCTGTTAATATTTGATTTATTTAAAGTAAGTTCCTTTGGCTAAATTTCAGCAGTATATTTAGAGAATTCTTGATTATTTAACGAAAAAAATATCGTCAAGATAACAGTAAGTAAAAAACCATTTTTCTGGTGTTGGTTTTATACATACTGTGGTTGCTGTCGCCTACTTTACATATAGTATTGCTATATTAATTTTATACTTTCAAAATTACAAACAAGTCAGACGTATCTCTGTGTCAACAGTTTATTTTTTTAACTAAAAAATTGAATCAATCAAAAACAAATCAATCCACAGTTTAAATGTATATCATTAATATTGGGGATTTTCTTAAAAATACTATATTACACTTCAACAAGTTTCCCAGCGCACCTCCTCCTTTACATTTAAAGTTACTGTAAAAAGATGTTTTACAGAATACCAACACAAGAAGAGAATACATTACAAGTAACCTATATTGTCCTCTATACTGTACCCAGGGCTATTGAACACATCATAGACAGAGAGTTAAAAGGTGGTTTTCTGCAAGCCATCCGTGATCATAAAGATCAACTGAAGGCCAAACTCCGTTCAGAGGAATGGGATTTACACAGTCAATTAATCGGTACAGAAATTACTTATCTAATAATATAACTCCCGACAAATTCTGTAGAAAGATGAAGAATTGACACAAAGTCACAATATAATTTGTATGAAAATGTCATATCTTTTTTTAAGGAGATGTGTGCTAGACAGCTCAGGATATTTTTCTTCTACAAGTTTTATGCATAGTACGTTTACAGTTCTCTTCTCTGGGCAACATTGCTTTAACATCATCGTTGCATGTGGATACAAACTGAACGAAGATCTGGTTTGTCTCTGATGATATCAGCCTGTTCTTTCATCGCGTATTTGGACTTTTATGTTTAACAATTCAGAAGTATTTTCAAAATAGGCATCACAGTTCCAAGATGCCATAAACAAGTAAGTCCAAAAGTGTTCAGTTTAAGAAGGGAGATGATGAATG